AGATAAAGAAACAAACTGTGTAGGCTGGGGCGGGGAGGGGGGATAAAAAGTGAAAGGACCCCCTTTGTTTCTGATCAAGGACTTCGATTCAGAAAAACCCGAGGTCGGTAGCGATTCTGCCTGCTCCCTTTGGTGTGTGTTTGTGGCTCCTCCTGAAGGCAGCATCGACACCCCGGTAACTGCGGGCGACATTTGGCTGTCAGGCCAAGCAAACTGCTTCCCAGCAGCTTTGAAATGTTCTTACTATGGTGCACAGAGCAGTTCAGGTCACAAATCTACTTATCTTCATGGCGTTCCTTCAATGTCCCAAAGCTCAAACCTGGCTATAGACGTCACCAGGTTTAGTCACCAAGCTTAGGCATTAGCTTTAGAATGACAACAAGAAAATTAAGTTAAAAAGAGTTTTGAAAAGCAAACTCTTCATTTTAATGCTGGCATGAATTCTGCGCATCAAAACACCAACTATAAACACCCAAATCTGTTAAATACGGGCAGTGCCTATCACTTTTTACTAGTACCTGCTTTACTCTGTTAGCAATAGCTTACTGATTGATATATATGTGTCTATAAGTAACAGTACTAATCCATGAAACATCACTTTTGGCTATATGTATAGAGGGATAGAAAAGCTTTGGTAATTGCGTGTGATTTTACACTGCAGACTTGTCATTGACACAAGACAGCAAGTTACCAGTAAGAAGAAATGCTACTGGCGGTAATACTTTGCTTTTCCAGAAACACCAGAGGGACTCACATTCAAAGCACACATATTATGCTTTTCTAGATGTGTGACAAAGAATTTCAAGATTAAAAAAGTAAGAAAGCAGTTGTAAGTAACTGTAGATCCGACCAATTTGCTCAAGTCTCTGAAGCTGCAGTTAGACATTGCTCTGTGTTGTCCAAAAGAATGGCTTGCTGTACTGCGCTGTACCCGCGGGTGCGACAAGGCTTTCAGTCAAGACAACGGCAGGATTAGGATTACCCAAAAGGCACAGGAAAGAATTTCATGGGCACAATGCTAGCTTCACTGAGAAATCTGTTGATTTGCTTCGATCATATTCCTGTGTACTGAAAGTAAACAGCTTTTAATGCAGTACCACGTTTACAAATGTACCGACTATATTTTCAAGTCCATTAGGAAATCTGCTGCGGTCTCTACAGTAAACCCAGAGTCTAGCGCCCAGAGCTAGGAAGCTAAATCTCGACTCTAACAGTATTTCTGTGAGTGCAGAAAAGTCCTTCTTCTAGTATGCGCATCAGTGCACAATCTCCTAAACACAAATACAAAACTGTATTAGCACAGAAAGCCCTCGGGAAGTGCTCCAAAAATCACATTTCTAAAATTCTCCATTTAAATGTCTGCAGCAAATTGTAACTAAAGTACACCTTCCAATGCAGTTAGGCGAATTCTGGTTTGGGCACTTTGAAAAAACCCACACTCTAAGACTCTATGTCTTGGTGACATGGAATTGCATGACATATTTCAATATGGTGTTCAAATATGAACAAAATTAAGGCATAGAGATAAAAAGGCACTAGCTGAAAAAAAAAAAAACCCTTTCATTTTGTTATAGTGAAATGACTGTTTAGCTACAAATCAAATTGCAAATCAAGTTGAAATTTTAAGACTGTATTTAAACTGTGAAGAGAAAAATTCTATGTAGATTTAACTTTGTGGTTATTAGATCCATACCTTTTCAAGCCCTTCCATGGATATTTCTATCACCCAAATTAAAAATAAACAACTTGTTCTAACACGACTGAAACTTTCAGTCACGGTCTAACAGGACTGTTAGTCACACCATTGAAGCTATACTACAGAACTAGCTTAACTTCTGTTACGTAATGCATGCAACAGACAGAATAATTTAATTCACTAGCAGGCAATTACGTCCTTTGAAAATATGCATACTCCCTGTGACCCTCAATCCTTATTTTTTGAGAGCACAGCTTCATCATGGCATTTATAGAAAGGCAAAACAACCCTGCAACAGTCTTGTTTTCATTGGCATTTTCTAGTCACTGGATTCAACTATTAAGAGTAATTCATGATTCTAAACTGCTGGTACCTTTGTAAGCTACGAGCAGCTGTGAGCAGGGACCTCGGCTCTGCAACCCTCCTCCAGTGGAGTTCTAGGTGTCCAGTTCCATGCACCCTCTCAAATTCTAGAACTAAGGTTTTTGTTCATAATCATGCCAGTAGTCACTGTAAGTGTTTTACAGACATTGTATACAGAGGTATTACATTACTTAAATGCAGCTTGTTTTACTACATTACCCCAATAGGGGATAAATACTAGCTAACCTTCTGCTGAAAGTCTGATTTAGCTTCATAATTATTTCTAGCTCAAAACTTTTATGTTAATAACCATCTAATTTATTCTAAGTTGCTTATGTCAATAGACAAATTCTCCACGGGGTGAAAAAAAAAAACAAACCCCAAACAGCTCAAGCTTATTATTCATTAAATTAATAAAATTTTAGCAGAATCACTGGAACTGGCAAACACCATCTTCATTTAAGCAGCACTGTCTTTATGTTGGAAGCTTTCTGATATGTCAAAGAAATTAAGGAAAATGCAATCTGAAAATTCTTTTTTTCCTGGCTCCAAAATGCTTACCGTTGTCATGACTGAATGCCATTTTTAAGAAAAGGCACAAAAGCAGCAAATGCGATTATTCAGTAATTAAAAATCACAATGAGGAAGTGATATTGCAATACACATGAGCCACCACTGTCTCACAAGAAGGACACATTATAAGAAAACTAGATTCTGAAAATTTTCAAGCTTCAGAGAGTGCAGTTTCTTTTTAGAATAGTATATTTAAATGTTATGAACACTACAAATAAACCTGGTTACATTTTCCCTTTAATGTCCTTTTTTGGTAATATAAAATTTCCTTACCTTTTCAGATACCACTGTCCACTACTGATTTTTATGTACATTTTCACCTTGGTTTTGGTACCTTCTTAATCTGTTTGAAATCAATAATTTCAATAATATGGTCTTTAAATTACCTGCATAAACTATTAGGCTCTACATTACACTTCCCATCCCTGCTGTCACTAAATTTTGCTTATAAAGCAAAGGTCCTTTACAGCAGAGTACATACCAATTCTTCTTAAAGGCTGCTTTCATAGCTTTTATCTAGTGACAGAGAAGAAAAAAAAAAAAGTCATTACAAGCTGACTTTCCTTTCAGCCTTCTAAACTTTCTCTAGTCTGACTAGCTCTTTCCATGCTCAGAAAACCCTTCACAGTTGTGTACCCTGACTGAGAAAATTATAAGCTGGGTAAAATACTCACATAAACCAAAGCAGGCACCACTCTCCATCTCAGGAGAGATTTCCCGCCCCCCTCCCTCCCCCCCAATCATTCCTACTCCCCTACAGGTAAAGTGATTAGGATAGATCCATACTCCTGCTTATGCTCTGGTACAAAACCTGGAAGTTAGCAGAATAAATTCAGAAATCTCATGAGTGAACTACTATGGGAGTGGGTAAGCTTATTGTTCTATCTCCATGGACTTCATATGATTCTGATAGTCCTCTAAAGAGGCAAAACAGGTAGAGCCTCGTCAGAGTGGACAAGGTTCACAGTACCAACCCGCTCTGCCTTTACAAAACAACAAAAGCAAGCAATGAATCATCCAAAACAGTATACATGATTTCAGTTCTGTAGTCCAATAGTTTATTCCCAAATGCCCTTTTAGATTATTTATGGCTGTGTTCTTCTACAAAAATATGAGAGTTTGACTTTTCTGTTGTGAAAAGTCAGTTTATTCACCACGTCTGATCACTACCTGGACTTCTTGACTGAGAAGCAATATTTCAGAGTTTTACTTTTGTTCTTTTATTACACTCTTT